TGCATTAGTTGACACGCGTGGCGAGCGTTTTGTCAACCGCAGTTTTTTTATTATTTTGAGTTGTCCTGGGAAGATGCTGCCCGTCACCTGTTTCCACAGACCACCCAGCCTACTGCGTAGCCTCTGGTAGGCCTAGTGATCTGTGCCTGTTTCAATGTCCCTCTGTCGCCTCTTACGACACCCTCGGGACGATATGGGGTCGTGGATATTCTTACACCGCCACTACACGGCACACAGTAGTGTGCAAGAATAAATGACGCCTAGTAATCTGGAGAAAAATGGATAAATTATTTACAATCACTACCTTTTTACCCCTTTCTTAGTGTGCAAAACTGCACTAGTAACATCCTTAAAGTTTTAAAAAAATGCGTCAAACTAGACTTTGTACGGTTATTATTTAGCAGTATCCGACCAATAGAATACTATAATACATACTTAATAGAACGGTGGAGTGGCCGGAGCCCGTGTAGCCACTAACACGTCAATTCACACTTATAAATGTCAACACAATGAATCGTTTCCAATTTTCGTGTCAAGCGTCGCTGCATGCAAATTATTTAAAAAATGGCAAATTGTGCAATAATTACGTGTCGAAAGAACATCGGGACATGGAATTTAAATAAAGGAGACATATCCTACAACCAGTAAGTCGAAACTATTTATATTTTCTGAATATTAGAAACAAAAATAAAGAAATATTGATGTGTCAAAAACATTAATCAAAAGTCTAAAATGTGTAAATTCGCTCAGTCTGTCAATACAGCGAATCGGGTTTATAGTAGTGATAATACGACGTAATTGCTTGTATGTCTGCTCCCGGCGGCACCGAACCTCGTACAAAATAAGGTTAACAGCCATTCTATTGTGTATTATAGTATTCTATGGTCGACCGAAGGTCGATTTCTCACCAAAGCGGATTAAGCGCCTATCATCACAACCTTCAGCCGAAGCGGTAGGCTTAAAAACCATAATGGACGACACACACGGTCAGTTCTATTGATCATTCCAACTGATCCGTTCAAACTAGGACTGTTGATATTTTTTTAATATCGGATTTTCGATATATCTATTATTATAAATATATCAATATCGGAGTTTTATATATCAGTTTATTTTAAAAAATATCAACAGTACTAGTTTGAACTGATCAGTTGAACTGACCGTGTGTGTCGTCCATAGGTGCCTAGGTTGCACTAAAAGTATCGGGAATGGAATATTTCCACTGTTCCTGTCACATTAAAATCTTTTTAATTGAAAACTCCTTGGCAGCGATGTAAAAATATCCACTACCCCATATTATCCCGTGAGTGTCGTAAGAGGCGATTGAGGCAAAGAAATCAGGAGACATGCAGCCTAATAACGACTAAAAATAAAAAATTACGAATGTCAAACCGAGTTTTTTTGTATAAAAATATCATACAAATTATACAATACAAAGGCACGTATGGCAATTCACAATGCTGTATTAGTCCCTACTTTAACGTATGGTAGTAAAAGTTGGGTGTGCCAGAAGAAGCACGAGAGTAGAATAAATGCAGTATAAATGCGGTCGCTAAGGAGTATGTTAGGGCTGAATCTGAGTTACAGGGTGAGAAACTGTGTAATAAAAAAAGAATGTGGTCTGCAGGATGATGCGGTGATCAGAATTAAGAAAGGAATGCTTCGGTAGTTTGGTCATGTAAAAAGAATGAATGAGGAAAGACTGACAAAGCAAATATATATTGCAGAAGTGAATGGAAGAGTCGGAAAGGCACGTCCTATGCGAAAGTTTGTCGACCAAATTGACGTTATATTAAAACAGACCAAATTAAAAGTACCCTTAACCGACGAGCATGTATGCATAGGTTATATGGATGTGGAAGAGGCGAGAGAGGTGTGTCAGGATCGTGCTAAATCTGTCGTCTCTGCCTACCCCTCTGGGTGACAGACGTGACTGTTTTATATATTTATATATATATATATATCGATAGTCATAAATATATAAAGAATTATTAACTTTTTAAAAATATTCATATGTAAAACAAATATAATATATCTACCACAATATACAATTGTTATTCAGGTGTGAGGCAGTCGTATTTTTTATACGATAAACAAAAACTCGAGGAATATATTAATAGAGCTTACGACGCACTGCGGCAAAACGAACATTCGTTGACCAATAACTACGATGCACAGAAGGTTATTGGCTAATCTTCGCTTTGCGAAAACCGCTTTCTCTACTGCCTTTATGAGAAACAAGAAACAAAAATTTATTTAGCTTAGTGCGCTCTTAAAAAATAATACAAAAATACGAACCTACTTCAAAACTAAAAAGATAAAGATAGACTGCACTTAAGATACTATTACTCCAGGACCTTTAATAATATTTTTAGTATTGTTTTCTATATTTCCATATGTTTCATTATGAATTTATAGTATTGAATATATTATAAGTTTATAAATTTTTTTTATAAACGTAGGTGAAGCACAACTAGTACATTGAGGTAAAATAAAAGAAAAACTGTCTTGAAATCTAGAAGCACTACATACTTTACAATATCATTTTTATTATGCAACATTTTTATAGAAAAACGATGGCAATTGAGCACACAGTGCACCTCCTCCTCGATTTAGAATCAAATAACTCGAGATGGAATGCTTCGTTTCTAGCAAAAAAGTCGGTTCCTACAAATTGTATATTGGTGTTCTGTGAGATTGTGATCCTTCCCCGGCCGAGCTGACCCATTCATGCTACAAACATAACATGGTTGGAACGAGGCTCTACCCCGTGTGTATTTCAATGAATTAACTATTTATTACAAATGCATACTTAAGTTGATTAAAATTATAAAAAAAATATTTAAAAAAGTTCGATTTGTCTTAGCGGTGTGTCACAGTTTTCCTCAATTTTCCTTCAAGTTATAATCCTACACATTGTACATTATTAGCAAAATGCTTTTTATTAAAAGCCAGTTGCTTTGAGATATCAATTACAAAAACGAAATTATTATTTAATTGTTATTGTATTTTAATCCAAACAGAATCAGTTATCTGTTAAGTAAAATCATTTACATTCACAATCTGAAACCAGAAAAATGAGTTAATCCACATAAATTATGGAATATTTTTTCAAAATGGAATCAAATTTGAAGTAGGTATTTAACTGTGGCACGGTGCCATAAAGTTTAAGTTATGGCCTATGTACGTCTTACTGCTGGCCACAGGCCTTATCTCATTTCTGAGAGGGTTATAGGGCAAGGAAGTGTTCGCCACGCTACCCCAATGCGTGTTGGCGAACTTCACGTCTTCGAAATATTTTTTTCCTATTCTCAGACATGCAGGATTCCGATTCACGATGTTTACCTTCACCGCCGAGCACGTGGTAAATCAGCATTTAAAATTGCAATTAACATTTTCATTGGTGACGGTGGGGATCGAACCCGGGTTGCTCACGTACTGTATTGTTTACAGCGAGCTCTAACAGTGCCAATGCGGCTTAAAATAATCAACCACCATCACCGCATTTCGACTCGCTGATGTCGTAAAAGTCAGCGACGATAAGGGACGGAACTTTTCTTCCTTCCTCCAACCAATAACCAAAAAAGGGAGTTTTCTTCCTTCTTCTTTCTCTTTACTTTTTTCTTCCTCGCATTATCGTTTACGATTTTCCGGCTTACTCCTTTTACAAAGGACTGCAACGCACTTGTAATTCCCCTCGTGTTGTAGTTGTTCATGGGCAACGGTCGACTTTTACTATCATGTGAGCTGCATCCTCTTTTGCCCCCTCTTCTATAAAAGAACAAATTAATAAAAAAACTTACTGACTTCATACGTAAGTTACGTAATAATTGACAGATATACCCTTGTCCTCACAATATTTTACATCGCCTCTGTAGACCTTCGATGAAAATTGTAATGAGAAACTGATGTAACTCTGCTTATTGCGTTCAAAAAACATTAGAAGAAGATATCACTTATCACCCTACTCTTGAGATTTTGTAGAAAAAAGTTCATTGATGTATTTATTATCTGTTAAACGACACTAAATGCAAGTATCAACTAAAATTAGTATTATTTTATCGCAGACGTGCTGGAATGAAGCCAAAATATTAATACACGTAAGTCCATAACCTAGGAGAGCTCGCCTTGATGCTACGTATTTGTTGCACTACAATATAGGTAACTAAATTTATATTATTAGCCTGTTATTTTTTTACATTTTTAGGTACCAATAATTAAACTTTGCATAAAATGTACAACAGATTTCAAAATTAAAAAAGAATCCATATAATGGCTTATACGTGTATTGTCGGTGTACCGAAGTGTTACGAGTAGAGCTCCAACTACTGAAGCTTTTATCTGATAAATATAATTTATTTATAAGTAATCCGCCCCGGCTTCACCTGGGTGATTGCATCTCGACAACAGCCTTATTGACTGGCTCCAATTGTGTATCTAAACCACCCACTTAAACACACACAAAAAAATTCATGAAAACCTGTCCCGCCATTTAGAAGGAGTTCAATGACAAACACACTTACAGACGAATTACATATATATAAAAATTAATATCATTTTCTTACGTGGTAGAATCACACCGCAACTATGTTATACTTGTAGCAACGAATGGGTCGGCTTGACAGGGCAAGGACCACGCTTTCACATAATACCAGCGTAAACTAGCAGCTCAATGATGCTGTATTTCTTATGGTGAGTGTAGAGAACCGGATACCCTTTTGGAAACGAGGCATTCCTTTGTAGTCTTCAGTGGTGACAACGAATCCGCATTTTAATTCTTAATCGACGATAAATGTCTATGGGCCACAGCATCCACTTACCATCCCGTAGGCTGTGTGCTCGTTTGTCACCACTTTCTATTAAAAAAAATGCAAGTCTGCTGTGCTGGGTATATAATATGAAGTAAGTATATTTAGAAATAAAAGTCGTAAAATGATGTTGTTCCTCAAGTTTATTGCATAATAATAAATGTTTATGTCTACAGCGGCTGGCAACAGATGTCACCTGCTCTCCACAGCTTCGGCTGCAGTCTCGGGATTGTCTTGTTTCCTGAAAATTGATATACGGACTCCGATAGATTGCGGCATAAGTATTTCGCTTATCTCGAATGTTCCGAAGTATACAAAGTATTAAATCTACTAGATGGTAGGAATATATCTGGGTAGGTACGGGTGGTAGGTACTTATTTTTGTCTATCTGCTGTTTTTCGGTGTGAGGATCATAGACAGATTGAGATACGGAATAATTACAGACTGGGACGCAAGCCGGATCTTAGTTCTCGGAGATGACAACGCAGTCGTAGCCTTCGCTGTTTGAAGTTGGTTGTATAAAGTTCATGACCTGCAGTAGCGACATACAATCGGGTACGTACCTATACTTCCACCATATCTAAGAAATACTTTATGACGGCAGTTATATTTATTGGACTAAACATTCCAACTGAAAAATCGGTACCTACAATATTCGGTCCTTAAGCGAAATCAATGTCTATTCTTTAGAGTTGGTAATCATTTACAGTTTTATCTAGATTATTACCGAAATAAATTAGAAACAGATAACTCAAACACACAAAATTAATCAGTTTCTTCATATTAATTGCTTGCTGCTAATTTCTAGAGATATAGTATAATGTAAATTAAAAACTGCGCTAGACTAAAATGTATTTAATCACTACTATTACAACTAGTTGAGCTGTCATCGTCATCATCGTTGTTTACATTAGTTATTACTTGATTTTCTATAACGCATTCAAAATGAATGTCTCTTTCATAGTAGTCTATACCCATGTAACACAGTAAGCATTTATCATAAGCGTTTTAACAAATAAATAATAAACTTACGTAGAACTTAAGGTCTGTATAAACTCTTATATACTTTCACGCTTGACGCTAATTTCATTCTTGACGCGTTATAATATTGTCATTTCAAAACCATTACGATTCTATACACTGTATAACGGTTGCACATTGACATACCAAAATGCTTTTGTAAAACCTTTAGTTTTAGTGCAGCAAACCACAACGTAGCTGTTTTTATTGCATTTAGATCTACATTAGCATTCAAAAGTAGTAAATAAATGATACTGTTTAATAATAATATGAACCATTGTAATTCCACGTAAATTCGCAATACAACTTTCAGCTGTTTTAGTGCCTTAAGGTTCACAATAGCATTTTTAAGTAGTAAGATAAAAGTGGTAAGTCGTCGTCCTTCAATTGACCTAAAAGCACGTTAAGTTAGTTCTATAATGTAAAGTAAGTGCGAAAAATAGTGCACTTAAATAGGAATTGCTGTGGTCTTACTAACAAAAAAAGGCCGCTGAGAATCTAGGATGGACATGCCAAAATTGTCTTGAACATTCCCCGAGACGTAGCTCTATCTACGTTCCCGGTGATGGAGATGAAGAGGAAGAGGAAGATAATGGTCAAGATACAGGAAACAATATCAAGGATATCAAGCGGTTATTGAAAGATATATCAAAAGAGATGGAAAATGCTCTTCAAAGAGAACTGCTAGACATAGTCAAATCTTTGTAACATCAAAGCGATAAAACGGACGAAATGACAGTATCTGTAGATGTCTTAAAATTAACAATGAAATAACTACAGAAGAAAAATATAGAACTCTCCAACAAAAATAATTACTTAGAAACGCGCGATGGTGCACTAGAGCTACGTTTAAAGGATATTGAACAGTCACATCTAAACAAACAAATTGAAATATTAAATATCCCTCATAATAACACGGAAATAGTTAAAGACATTGTCAAAAAATTGTAGATAAATTATCAATCTCTGTTGATGATATTGACACTACCTGTACTGTACCAGGAATAGTGTTGCCCAAATGCAAGAAGAAGACGAGACTTAGCCAGTCTTGGTCTTGGTCTTGCGCCAATACACCTGGTCTTGTTTTTGGTCTTGGTCTTGCAGCAAGAGTCTCGCAAGTCTCGCAATTACCTATTAGCCTATTGTTATTTATTAAACGTTACTTTAGATCTTAGAACAACTTAACAGAGTAGGCACATTTTGACCTTGAATTAACATTGCCATAGAAAGACCAACCAAATTAATAAATGTCTAAACATTTAATGAGAAATTCGAAAAATCAACTAATACCGGGTGGGGTTTGAACCCACGACCTAAGCGATCCGTGCCGATGCTCTAACCAACTGAGCTGTCTACCAAGTCTCACGGCCACGGGAGTTAGTCTGTTTCTTAATAAACGTTTACATTTAATAAGCTTACATGTGCTAAAACTTAGTCAAAACATATAAAAAACAAATTAATGACATTAACTTGACTGTATTATAAAGAACATTATCTGTCTAGAAAGAGATTGATAGACCCTTATGTGAAATGGAATAAAAGAGTTATACAATTTACCATTTATTTAAATAAAAAAATAAAATACAATACAAATTAAATTACATAACAGTACACAACAGCTTTGACATTACTGTTACTTTATATTAATTCTTTTGACCAAGAATTAATACAAAGTAACCATCTGGCTGACTCATCACTTAACCTATTTCTACCTTTTCTAATTACTAATGATGCTTTAGAAAATAATCTCTTAGCAGGTACTGAAGTTGCAGGTATTGAAAGAAAATCACGGTCCATCTTCGGTAAAGTTGGATATTCTGTCTCATGCGTCCTCCACCACTCTAAAATGTCTTCCGAACTGGCGGCTCTGGGTTTACTTAGATACTCCTCCAACTCGTCTATAACTAAGCCTTGATGAAAAGATCCAGATCCAGATGACGTCGAGGGACATGCATACAATTTCTCAAAGTCTATTACGTCTTCATCTTCATCATATTCACACACTTTCTTTTCATTTCTTGGTGATTCTAGAGATGTATTGAGTACACTGAGTGTAGACTTTTATATTCTTTATAAAGTTCATTAAATTTGCGCAGGCTTTCTGTTTTAATTTGCTTCCCCCATAATGTCATGTCAAAAGTCTGAGTCTTATGCCTTGGGTCTAAAATTAAAGAGGTACAATAAATCCAGTTGCTCTTTTTATAATGTTTAAGCATTTTGTCTCGAGCTGCTTGAAAACCCAGAATGAGCCTTTCATCCACTTCGGATCGATTAGGTTTCTCATCTAATTGTTTTACCATGGATTCAATTTTATCGAGCAAGAGATTGAATCATACAATGACTAGCGGTAATGTAACATATTTTTCTCCACCAAGTTTCGTTGATAGAAGTTTAAAGTTTATTAGAAACTTATGTATTTTTTCGAGTATTTGCCATTCACTGTGATTTGAAAATCCGAATTCGAATTCGGTGACAGAAGTGCACAATATGTTAATGCCAGTTCTCACTTTTAAACCAAATCCAATCATATCATGTGTGGAATTCCATCTCGTGGGACAGTCGAGTATGGGGTTCAGATTTGATGGCACGCCAGCTGCTTCACAAGCAGACTAAAACTTCCTCTTCAATATCTCACTTCTTTTTATTTTACTGGAAATACTGCGTAATTTTGTTATAGCTGTACGTGAGTACCAGCAATATTTGGCGCATATTCTTCATCTTCCTCAGTTTCGTCTTCATTATCTTCATACTGCTGTTCTTGTCCCTTGTTGTCAGTTTCACTGTGCAATGCTAAGGTCTTTAATAAATCTTGTACACCAAGGTTCAAAATGTGAGCAAAGCACCGAAAATGTTGATTATCTGAATCAAAGTGTGGCAGCTGTTTGTCCAATTCATACATAAATTTGGTACTTGCAGTTGCGTTGTCGACTGTGATACCCTGTATTTTATCAATTATGTCATATTCCAATAAAAATTCGTGGGAAAATCGTTGCAATATCTTCCCCAGTATGTCGACCGCGTGATTGTATAAAATCAAGGTCTACAGATCGATACTTCCATTCGTTGTCTATATAATGAATAGTGACCCCGTAGTAACTCCTACCAGCAATTGACGTCCATCCATCAATGGTAAATGACATTTTAGATGAAAATTGTTGTAGTCGTTTCTTAAGATTCAATTGAAGCTCTTCAAACCGTTCTTTGACTTTCCTTCTAAGTGTGGACCTTTTAGAAAACACCATATTTGGGCAAATTGATCGATATACTTGTGTAGCTTCGTCATCGAAGAGGGGAAGATATTTTTTAACCATCCAATCAACTGTAGCTGTCGTGATGTTGTCACTGCTATTTTCAGACTGAAATAAAACAGTAAATCATGTGTCTCGCCGATATATATATTATATAATCTATATATTATATATATACATATATATATATATATATATATATATATATATATATATATATAACTACCACTCACTGACTGACTATAACGATTTCTCAGGAACTATAAAACTTGAAGGTAGGTTCCTTTTATGGCATAGAGATCAGTTAAGAAACGGTTTTGAGAAAATCTATGCCTAAGGGAGTGAAATGGGAGTTGGAAGTTTGTATGAAAGTCCTACGTTTTTGAAGTTAGAGTACACGAAAATTGGCATTAAAGTTATAAGTTTTCTATAATAAAATCCTGAATAAGCTGTTTTAAGAAATCCTAACCCTAAGGGGGTGATATGGTATTGTTCGTAATGCGCATAAGTCCAATTTTCCAATTTTTTTATATATTTTTTGCGTCTCATAGAGTCCCTAAGCGTATACCCGAACTCCTATACTCCCTGAAACGACACTCATTCCTAACTGCAAGACGCAAGAGTCTCGCAGGCTTAGTCTTGTTCTTGCTCAAATATTGCACGGTCAGTCTTGGTCTTGGTCTTGCTAAAATTAGGCGGTCTTGTTCTTGGTCTTGGTCTTGTAAAAATGCAAGAACAAGACCAAGACTGCAAGACCAAGACCGATTTTGGGCAACACTAACCAGGAAAAAAATAAAAGCCAGGAAATATTGAAATTACATTTAAAAATGAAACAACATCAACAAAATGGATTACTGCAGCGAAAAATCCAATTTTATTTGCTCATGATATAGTGGATAAATTGGCGGAGGCGACGGGGAAACAGATTATTTACATACGTGAAGCTTTATCTTATTATAACGGGAAATTACTA